AATCATGTTTTCTGAGGAATGTATAATATTACTATCCCAAATAACTGGACACAGCAAAATAGGTTAAATGATCCCATTGATGTTTGACTTGAGCCCAGAGACCACAATTTCAAAGAGGCTTTATCAGGTAAATCAGAAAGACCTTATAAAAAGATAACTGCAATGTTACTTAATTTAAAACTCCAAAATAAAGAACCAAATTTGACTTACATGCATATTAGAACATAATTTCAGATTTTTTTTTAAATTCTAATAAAGCCTAACGTGTCTAAAAATGTCTATAAGTCGTCATTGATATACTATTAGAGTTTTTATATTTTTATTTTCTGTTTTCATTTAAGTTGTAGTAATGTTGTTTTTGTCATTTGTTTTATTTTGTTATTTTAGTTCATCAAATTAAAGGAAATGAAAATGAGAAATGATAATCAATTAGCTGAAATAAAAAGTTTAGATTTTTTTAAAAACTATAGTCAGTTAAAGAAAAGAAATACACTCTTAATGTTCTTTATTGCACCAGGCACTTCACAATAACTCTCCCGACCCAACCCCACACTACGATTTGAACCATAAATCCACCACCTAAATACTATATATTAAACATCATCCTCTTTCTGCACAATAAGAAAAAATTAAAACCGCAACTAAAGAAATGAGAACTACACATCCGAGAGCGCCAACTAAGTAAAACAGGCAAATACAACTTTCATATTCATCACAGTATTTCATTCCCTGAAACTGCAGCTCAGGGCTCAAACAGCAAAGTCTGGTCACGAGACTCCTCATCCTTCCGTCGCACAACCGTTCACCTTCATTAGTCGAGAATCGTGACTTCCGTAACAACATATTGATGCATCAATAATTTACATTAAATATCATACAATATCTCTGTTTTTGAGTGAAATAATCGGTTGAGCATGAGTGGTTTTCCCTCGGATAAGGCTGAGCTGTGAGAGAGGAAGTTGTCCTTGTCTAAGAAAGAGAAACAAATCCCGTGGCTGCTTATCTCTCTGTTTTCTTGCGGCTCCTCAGACAGATTTTCTCGCAGTCAGCACTCGTACGATGGACCCCAGACCCCCCACAGCGAAAGCCTGAGTGAGAAGACAATAATAGACGTGTGAGATGAAAAACAGACACCAGAGACATCGAGTCTCTTTATTCCAAGACCGACCTTTTCGTGCCACTGGAGCAGGATGGCGCTGCTGTTGTCTGAGGGCTTCTCGAAGCCTCTGTAGATGTACTTCATCAGCAGGTCCACTCCGTTCCTGTCCAGAGACTTCACGGCCGGCTCGATATCGCTGCTCTTGAATGCAGTCAGCACTCGTAACACCACCGCCTGTGCCCGATCCTGAGAGAGGAGGTGGAGGGAGGGAGTGCAACAAACAAGTGTAGGTGGAGGAAAAGACAAACATGTCTATACCTACTCGATGGACTGTTTAAATGCATAATAACTAGTGATGCACCAAAATACATTTGATACAAAACCCCCGAAATTAAGTTATGTTAATGTACTCATATATTTATATAATAATACTTGGAATGAAATAATGTTTAGAAATTGGCCCTATTCACTTCCATTGACAACATGGATCAAAAGGAGGGACAAGCGGAAGTTCTTTTTGTGGTAATTAGGGATGCACCGATATGAAAATTTTGGCCGATACCGATTAC